CTCTCTCTCTCTCTCTCTCTCTCTCTCTCTCTCTCTCTCTCTCTCTCTCTCTCTCCCTCCCTGCCTCTCTCACCCTCTGTTTCTCTCCTTCGCTTCAACGTCGACAACGACGACTACGACGATTATGTCGACGACGGGGAACGAATGTGTGTGGGGGCGGTTCGCGCGTAAAATCGCACCGAGTGGAGGCGCTCAGTCGCGCGGGACACGTCGCGGGGTGCGGTTGCTTCGTCGTGGTGGTTCGTCACACCGGGCGGTGCGTGCGTGCGTGCAAAGAGGGGAAAAAAGACGACGACCCTATCTGTGCCTTTCGCGCGGGGGGTGATGTGGACGATGTGCGCGTGCCGATAACGATAAGGCCGCCGCAGGGATGTGCCTAGCGGGGGGCACTCGAGCCCTCCTGCTCCTGGCGCTCGTGCTGTGCCAGCGTGCTGGCTGCGTCGATGGCAAGAATGACAACTGTGAGTACGCGCCTCGTGCCTCTTACCGATATAACCTCAAAGAGGATCGTAATGTTGAATGAGGGATGGGATACTCAAGCGCGATGTGGCTCGAATGCTTTTATAATTATAGGATAAAGCGCGTCTTCTTTAACCTTCACGGATGTTCGTAGATCTAACATTGATCTCGGATATCGTACACTGTAATTGTGGAAATCTTTGATTGATTGTATCGAATTAATTTTATACTGGAGTATAAAATTTAAACAAAAGTTTAAATTTAAGTTTAAATTTAAAATTTAAATAAAAGTTATAACATAAAGTTTTGATTCATTTTATCTTTAAGTGGGTAAGTGAGAGTAGCCACAACAGGTATATCTTTAAAACTGTATTTTGAAAAAGAAAAATATAAAGTATTGCTCAGAAGTCTCAAGATTTTATCTTATAAGGATAATTAATGTAATTTTAATTATACTTAATATATTATTGATATATTAATGTATATATCAGTAAAAAATGACTAATAGAATGAAATTCTTTTAGGGAATGTTCCAAGCATCTATTATCAACTTGCGTATCTCTAAGTTACTTTAAAATTCTTTACTAATTTCTTTACTAATTGTACGTGACATTAATTATACTTCCGCTTAAATGTACTAAAATAGTAGAAATTAATTAATTACAAACAATTTATAATAAAATGATGCAATTGTGAATGTCACATTATATTAAATAATAAGACAAACAAAAAAATATAAAGTTATCGGTTAAGGCGACTTCAGATGAGAATGTGGGTTAATATACGTCAACATTGGGTGTAGCAAACATTACACATACACATACATATGATGTGTATAATTATCATGCATATTTAGCGAATGTCTGAATTTAGCGAATGTAAAGTTAGCGTATTATTAGCCATGCGGTTTATAGCCGTCTTTAGACATACGAGTATAATATTGCGAATACTATACAATACAATTAATACGGAACAAGCATATTATATATATTAATATTACGCAACATGCAGTATTTTTTATTACACTGACGTTACGCAAACGATTATTTGTCTAATGTCATTGAGTGCATAAAATGCGCGACTACTAACACGGCCATTAACATCAATGCGTGAGTCACGGATGGATTTCCATTTAATCGTGATCTGTAATTGGCCTGTTTCGAATTCCTATATTTCAAAAATTACTGCTCGGAACGAAAAATGACCACTTTTAACTTATTTTTTCAAGAACTTTCTTGCTATGATATTTTGATTCATGAATTTCTGGACCTTTCCTCTGTGTGTGTGTGTGTGTGTGTGTGTGTGTGTGTGTGTATCCGCAGATAATATTTAAAATATTTAAGTTAAGACTACAGCTACACATTTTAATTTAATTAGCCTCATGCACTTGTCGACATTATTCCAAAATGCTTGAAAATGCGATTATGATCTAATGACGAATTACGATCTAAACTTTCTATTTTTCTCTTACGATCTAAACTTTCTATTTTTATCTTGTAGATTAAAGTTACAGATACCATAGTATCTTGTGAATTTAAGCCGATTTGAGAATATTATAGACCATAAGCCGCTTGAAGTATTTCATCAGCTCCTTTAAAATGGCCGCGACACAAAAGCGAGATATCCCCTGCGGAACATCGAATGGTTTATCCCCATCCATCGGTGTCATTCGCTTCTCGATATCGAGGCAAGAATTCGAGATGATATCTGAAAATTTATCATTGCTCTCGATAACCGCGGATAACGTGTGTCGCACAATAAAATCGTCTCGTGCTATAAAATCGAAACGAGAATTCGTGTCACGGATTATCGGCATGGCGCGGTTTTACGAGAGGGAAAGAGAGACGACGGGTCAAGAGATATTCCTGCCGCTGGTCCGCTCGCTTTTCAGCATCAACATTGCTAAAAAATACGTTTACGCGCGTCGTACGACACATCGCATCAGATTGCCTAACGTTATCGGTGCACCACATAAATCATGTCCCTCTTTCGAATCTTCGAATTCCATCGTCATTTATCTACATCGCCTACATCTAGAACAATATCGAATTTAACTCGCGTTATAATAAAAGTTATAATAAAACCGAGTTTTCACATTTTTTTATTGAGAGAAGCTTTCTTTATACTTGTTTCACTCAATGAGCAAGTAACTTGCGAATAAATTATTCAAATAGAAAAGTTTCGTTAAATCAATTTTTTACAAAGTTGTTTCTTTCGTAATCGGGTAGACGGGTACAACCGAGTATTATTTCTCCCCCGTTTCTGAAAGGAAGAAAAGATTTCGCGGAATCCCTTTTGGAAATGGTGAATTGACCGTATAAAATATCTACTTTTTCCCTCCTTTCATTCTTTTGTAAAATTTACTCTTTACGGCTTATGTCTGTAACATTCTCGTCGTCTTCACGCCGAAATCTCATCCGCGACTTCGTGCGGAAAGTGGGCTGCACTCGTATTCGCTGCAAAGAAGGAAAAGTTGTCTTAATGCATTAGGGATGTGTCTTGCGTTACTTGCGCTAGGCGCACCTCGGTTTCTACTCGGGATTGGTAAGGTTTACGACACCGTGGCGAGAATCGATCCTATCACGATGAATACACCAGCCAGCACGAACGTCCACCATATATTTGTCCGCATATGCAGGGTTGCTATAAAACTGAAAATCAGAGAAATGTCAGAGAAGTTGAAAACGGTTAAGAAAATCGAGGAAAAGTCGGGGAATTTTGCAAAGTTTTTTAGAAAATATAAATTCTTGGTTTTAGGGAAGTTTGATACGAGTATATCACATCTACGCAGTTTTAGAATACTACTCAAAAAAATGACTTGGCAATAACAGCTAAATTTTAACAACTGAATCAAATTTAGCTATAAAATCTACCGCCTTAGTGTCATTACTAAGCTCTGACTATTACAGATAAAAACATTCACTGTGGCATGAAACTTTATTAATTAAAATTAAAAGCATATTAATACAGGCAGGTTAAAAAGATATCACACCGAAAAATTGTATTCTTGAAAAATGTACTTAATATTTCCTCTTAATAGATATAAGAATATTTCTTCTTAAATTAATGATACATTCTTGATTTGCGAAGGCGATCGTCGCTACATGCGCGCTTCACGGTTTTTTGATGATGTCTCTCTTAAAACCATACAACTTTTGTTTGAGACATTTTTCTCTAAAGTGTATTGTTCAAGAGATATCATCGATTGAGATCATCGTTTAAAATAAGACATCCTGTACATTATATTAAGAATATACAGGATGTTAATTTAGATTTTTCTCTTAAATTAAGAGGATCATTTTAGCGCTTATTTTAGAGGAAAAAACATACTATACGTAAGTGGAATATTCATTTTTTCGGTGCACCTAAAAATTCTATAGTAAAAGATAGAGTAGCTACTAAATGTCTCTAGCAGCAAAAATTTGTTGCTACAGTACGTAAGTGCAAATAGCTAATAAATTTAGCTTGAGCATCAATAGCATTAGCTGTCCCAATTTTAAAGACACATTTAGATATCACAGCTCCTACCGCTAATCCTTTTTTTCCGTGAAGCTTAACGATTAAATGCAAGTGGTGTCAGTAATATTAATAGTAATTTATATTACTATTAAACTGTTTTGTCAATCAAATGTTTAATGGTTCCCAAATCAATACGAAAAATGCATGAAGTTTCAAAATGTTATTGAAAGTCAGAAAATTTAAGATGAGGAATTTGTGGCAACTCTGGTATGGTTAATTCTTTTTACTTCAATCAAACTGCATGATGCAAAATTATTTAGTATACCCATATCTTAAATTTCATTTCATATCCAAATGAAGGATTTGATAAACTCCTAGAAAACATTTATATTAATTAATTGTATATTATAACTATAATAATAGAGGATATAAAATATAATAAGCGTGTTATGAAATGTGATAATTCGCGTAGATATATGAACAATCTTTCCCTGTTAATTTAATAATTAAATTCAATTTGAGATATTAACGAGCTATTACATTAACATTTATAACCATAGAGTATTTAGTGGAACGCGTTAAATAAAATAATGACGTATTAATCTATTATTGAGTCATTTATAGCTAGATATTATAATTTCTATTTATAATTTGAGTTATAATTTGAATTTTATATTAGTGTAATAATTATAATAAACATAACAAATGCCTTATAGAAGAATTAAGGCTTTATTTTAATAAGAAAGATGATAGAAACCAAAAATAGAAAGAATTAAATAATTTTAATTTTTACCATTCAAGCAGAATTCGTGAGAAATGGAGAAATGTAGCTTGAATTAAACGTCGCCATTTCCTGTTCATAAGTTTGTACTTTGCGAAAAGTCTGGGGTCGAGAGCTCTTTCCGAAACGTCGATACTCCGGGCGCGGCGACGCGGATTAAGTGCCATTTCTACGCCGGCGGGTCGCCGTGTAGCGAATTTTTACGACCGGCGGGTCGCGTCCCCTGGTTTCGCGTATTCAAAGCACGAGTATCATTTGCCTTTTTAGTGGTCTGGCATATAATTTTGAGGCAGTCGCCGCGACGAAGAATCTTACGTTCGCGGGTCGCATGTTCGAATCTCTCATTCGCGATTTCATTAGATGCGAATTCCGGCGTCGAGATTTTAGCATTTCATAGTCCATAAAATATTTGATCGAACCAGTGCGGAAATCGAGATACGCACGTATTTACGAACGTGTCATAAATACTGAAATATTTATAAAATACGCTGGAATACCTAATTATTTTGACATGGACTAATCACGAACATTGCAGAATTCATAATGGCGGAAGAATCTCTCACCCATAATGGCAGAATCTCATGAAATTGCAGCATTTGAAATGACAGTACCTTTCCATAGATTTTAATTGAGGTATATTTTGTAGACAAAAAATATATGATAAAGTGATACAATTCTGAAAAGAATAAAATTTGAATCCAATTTTTGAGGTTTGGTAATCTTCTCATTATATGTAGAGAATGCTGAAACGTATCACATAGA